TGGCGTCGGCTATTCAGCCAGACTCGCTCAAGACGGTCTTGGCTCCGATCTCAATTGGAGATTTCGAGATGGAGCAACGGGACCGTAACGGAAGGGCGGCGCAATTGGGCTGTTGAATACAGACATGAGCCCGCTCAGGGGATGTTGACTCCTTGAAGAAGTAACATGGGCGGCTCGGCGACAGGGACGGCCAGCTTTGTCCGGACGAAATGACTCGCTAGATATGCTTGAAAAGTATAGCATTAAATGGTAGACCAACTAGCTTGCTCTCGCTTACCCCTTGTGCCGGTCATCCCGTGGGTTTGACGTCAAAGTGGCCGTAATAAGCACTCGGCTGACATACAAGTCCCTGAGGACATGGCAAGTTTTAAGCTAACACCAGACTGCTTTGGAGGGGCAGCTGAAGCCTTTCAAGGACAGGGTTGCTGGTATGCTGTTTTGTATCCACATTCATGGCAGATCATCTGATAAGATCAACTAGATGTTGAATGTGTTATGGCGATGGTAAGTAAGGTGTGGTCAGATTCAATGTCAGCTTACTGCCGTGGAGCTCATCAACAGCGATGTTAGCTATCAACCGGGGGGTTAGTGGGCTAACCTTGGTCCCTTTGGCCCTTGACTCTGGGCTGAAAAACTAGACGCTGCGTAAATCGATTCCGACGGTCTTATCCACCAAGCATTATGTCGAGGGATTTGTGTCGCCAAAACCTGCATTCACCTCTCTTTTTATTTCCATCAAGTATACATGTATGTTTGTACTAGTCACCACTCCTCGCCATCAGCTCTTGTCACCAAAGAAGTATCATGGGCGCAATGGGCATCTCCACGGTTCCCCTGCCATCGTCGGCCGACTTTAGCCTCACCGCAGAGGATGGCCAAATGTACGAAATCCAGGTGGCATGGCCAATGGAGTGGCGAAGCAGAAAAGGCCACGACCACGTAGCCGTGCTGGATGTAAGTCTCCTGTCCTGCAGGCAACCTAGCTCCGACTAACCTGACAAGATACGCGGTCGACGGCAACGCCATGTTTCTGACGGCAGGAGAGGCGGCCTGGCAAAGAGGAATTTCGCAAGCAGGGACATGATAGGCAGCCGTTGTTGATGTTGTTTTATGGGTCGTACGAGCAGAGCCCAAGTGACCCAAATCTAGCGAATCCAGATGATCAATTCTTGACTCCTTGACTTGCATATCTCAGCCGAGACATGGCGTCGGATTAAAGTTGGAACGGGTCGGGCCGCAGCTAACCCCCACGATTCAAACCTGACGTCTCCCATTGGAATCAGAACTCAAGTCCACATTCTCCCGTACGATTTGGGTAGCTTCTAGTCGTCTCGTGTCCGTACAATGGCCTTATCAGCAATCGCCAGTGAGTATGCTGCTCCATCGCAAAAGTTTATCAAATATCGTTGACAAAAAACAGGAGTACATTCCATTCTTGGGAATTCATCATGTGCTTATGACGATGCTAGTTATATCCATCCTCCTCCTCTGTAATCTATCCCCTGCCTTTCCTTCCGCTCCTTTTCTGATCTACGGGTTCCATAGGCACGCACTCACCCCTGCTCATGCCTCATTTTTCCTTCAGCAATCCTACCGGCGGGTTGTACCACCTCGTCGAGCCTCCAGAACGTCTATCTCCTTTCCTTGTCCTACATCTCAAATGCTACCATCAATTCATCATCATCATACGATAGCCAACTGAATCCAGGCATCGGTAGCGCCGTCGTCAACCTTAGTTCCATCAGCAACCCCTCGCTCATTGTCCGAGTGGGCTATTTAGGAATCTGCATCTCCTACATCGACGATCAGTGGCTGTGTTCAAATACCGCAAGCATTTTGGCCAGTTCGCTTAGGGCTGGTGCTGGAAATAGCAATGTGAGCAAGGTTGAAGATATGGACCCCTTGAACTTGCTGTGAATTGCCGCAACGTTCAAGGACAAGGCTGCGTTTGATGGATTGATGTGAGTCAAGTCTGATCGTCCTCTGAGACCCAGCCCTCCTTCGCTTTCTCCCGTTACTGGAGTCATATTTTGCGCGTTTTACAATACTTGGCGGCCGTCTGCATAGGTTTGCTGCCATAGCCCTCGCCTTTCTCTTTACGATTCTACTCTCTACACGTCCGAGCTGGTACGACGAAGAGAATGAAGAAGGATCGGATCGCGAAGGTAAACCCTCCCCTATCGAAATATCATAATGGCCACCATATATTTTACTATTCTAGCATCCATGTTTGCCTTCGTCTCTAGTTTATTACAGCACATCGGGATTGCAACGGCCTCCACTATGGCTGAGGGTTTATCGTACGGATCTGGTACAGGACATGTAGGTGTGACTGCAATGGTTCTAGCATGGATTGCTCCCGTCCTTTGTTCTCTCGTGGCGGGTACTTTGTGGCTCATGCCGGAGTATATGTCAACCTTGGAGCGACTGCTGGAGTCTCCAATCCGGGCGCGAACGAGGAGGTCTGCAATCTGGGCGCGAGCGATGGAGTCTACAAGCGACTGATGGTGTACGGTAAGCGGGAGTTTGCTATTCCCTGTGACTATGATCAAAGTATTTCAGTGGTATGAATTCAAACTATATCCGGCATGTATTCAAGTGACGTAGTTTAACGATTAGCTAGACTGTGTGAAACTACTCGAGGTCTCTGAATCACTAGCCAGAGTCGGCGGACTCGGCCTGGGCGATTGGAGAAACCTGTGCAGTCGGTATATAATCAAAGCTAGAACAACAGGTGAAAGAGCGACGACAGTGACTGCAATCTTAACACTAATCTCCCGAACGAGGCGGCCAATAGAACTGGCGACGAGTTGGACCCTGGCCTGCTTGTACGACCCCTATTAACATTTGGGCTCACCCATACGGAGTAGACTCATCAAGTACTGCTCTCTCGCGTAATCTCGGCATTAATGTACCGCTTAACCCAACTAAAAATCATTTTATACTACTGAAGCGAGTTCTCGTCCTCGATTCTGATGGGACTGCGGAATGATGTTTTGCGGACAAGTTGGAAAGCTGATGCAATAATTCATCATCAGCAGACACAGCGGCATACTCAAGAGCGCACAGGCATCCTCAATTGGCTCGGGAACGCAGATGAAACAAGTGCGATGATTCGGTATTCTAGAGATGCCGCCATCCACTCTGACTAGCTTCTGGTTGATGACCACATAAACCAGGATATCCCATTGGATGGTGGGCAGCACATCATTTTACCGTCACCAACCCGATAGCCGTAAATCGTTTCCGTCGGATTGGTTTCACGAATCGTCTTCCTAGAACATAGCTCTGGTTATTGTCACGTCTATCAATACGGGAATTCCTGTCTCAGCCAAAAAGGAGACGGCCCAGGCGTGGCACGAGATTTCTCTCTGTTAGAACCCTGCCAAGTCAGCCAACTTTGCCCTGACAAAGGCAGATTATGCCACTGCCATTCTGAAAATTGTGGATGTTTCTACTGAGGACCCTAAGGACCAGTCGATCTTAACTGGAATTGTCGATGAACTAGCCAATCACGACGACAGTAATGGGAGTGTTGGCAAGATCAAGACGGAGGAGCACCCAAACGGGCTATTGGACTATGTGCAGAAGAAGCTGCAGCAGGGTATAGGACAGGACACTATGATGGCAGGGTCCTCCGGTAAGAACCCAATCCGTGAGCTACCGGTAGAAGCACGTCTGAAGCTGATACGCTCCATGGTCGATGCTCTAGTCAAGCCCCGGGGTCAGCCAGGCAGTATGGACATATCTGATGTAGAGCGGGTGGATCTGCTCTCTGGGCTGTCCGGCCTGTTTGTCCTCGGAAGTGTGAAGGCCTGACCAATTCGGCAAAGGATGTGGTAAAGAGGGGTTTTGGAAACTGTCAACTTCTGTTCAGATTGACCATAGAAGCTAGTTGTTGAACCAAGGCAGCTCGTAGCTTGATAGAGTCTTAGCCGGTCTTGATATCTGCGTGTTGCCAACGCCCATTTTTGGCATGTTGAGGTTATCGTGGAGACGACCAAGGGGCGACGCATGCTGTTAACAAATCCGGATAGAACGGAATCCAAGCAATTTCAAAAAAACGTGTCTTTCCGTGACAAAGATAAATCTTTGAAGAAGAAAAAATTATTTCATCCACCATATCTTGCTCCTAGCATTGAAATCTTGACCCTTCAAAACCTCCGCCTAGACAGCACGCTTCTCATTGATATCATCAGGTCTATTGAGGCCAGGCTTAGTGTCAACGTTCTCTAGCAGATTGTAACCCCGCCTTTTCAAATCCCGGTGACAGGGATGTTGTATATCATGGCGTCGGGTGTCGGCTCAGGTGATTGGTGGCGATAGAACCACGGTATTATCGGGACGTTGTTTGTCAAGACGATTGGAGCGCGCAAGGCCGGATCATTCCCAGTTACTGTATCGGGATTGGTGCAGCCAAGTTCCTGGCTCGAGATGTCCCTGCGTTCAAAGTTTAACCAGACGCTCTAATCGTTCTCAACGTCTGCAACGTCACAGCGGAAAGCGGGCTAACAGGACAAAACACCGCTTGCAACGAAGCCATGTGGGCGACGGGGATGAATTGGGCCTTGGGATTGGACACGGACAGTTGGAACACGAGTTCGCAACTCGTCGGGGGTGAGTGGAACATGTATTCCCCGTATCATGGAAGGCCTCTGCCTTTTCATCGCTTTCAAACCATCGTCACCCTCACTTTCCCCGCGCTCCTCCCCGCACTCTCGAGTCAACATGCAGCATCGGGCTTGTTTGCCGCTCGCTTCGACCAGTCTCGTTGTTTCCCGTGCCGGCTACTCCACTCCTGTTGTAACGGTGACTCGAATAACAAGCGTCGGGAAAAGGAACATCTGCCGTCTTCCCGTCGGAGCATTCCGTCAGTGTATTGCTACGTTCTAGTACCTCGAGTATATATATAGCCTTGTACGTACTACGTACCAGGTCGACCGAACCCCTCGGCGTGACCATGTCGTTTCACAAACAAATTCCAAAGCCCCAGTAATACCATGTTGAAACTCTATCGCGCCACGTGCCTTTGGCCTTTTCTCATCGCTCTCGTCGCCTCGGGCCTCGTCTGGCCCGATGGTGCTGCACTAGATACCCAGGTGATCTTGCCTGGCCGGGATAACAGTAACGACGACAACAACAGGCAAGATGATCAGCAACAGATCCCTTCCAGCTGGCCTCCTCCTCAGCAGATCTCGAAGACTGGCGGCTGGGTCTCGCTCAACCGCGCTGTCACCATCGTCACCGACAATGGCACCGACGCTGCCACCATCAATGCTGTCAAGGCCATCGTCTCTTCCGCTGGCGGCACAGCCACTCTCTCGTCACAGCTCTCGGGCCATGGCACGCAGATTTTAATTGGGGCCGAGAAGGCAGACGGTGTTGCTGTTGCTGCCGCCAACGCGCTCACGGGAAAATCTGCGAATGGCCTCGCCCCCGAGGGCTACGTCCTTGCATCGGGCAAGTACCAGAACCAGGACACCGTTGTTCTCAATGGTGTAGATACGCGCGGCACATTCTACGCCGCCCAGACCCTGCGACAGCTCGTGGATAGTCGCCAGGGGATCCCTGGCGTCAAGGTGCGCGACTGGCCCCTTATGCCCATCCGTGGCTCTATCGAGGGCTTCTACGGCGTGCCATGGTCTCACCAGGCGCGTCTCGACCAGTATGTCTTCTACGGCAAGCACAAGTTGAACACGTACATCTACACACCCAAGGACGACACGCTCCTCCGCACCAACTGGCGTGACCTTTATGACAGCAGTGGCCTTGTGCAGCTGAAGGAGCTTGTCGAGACTGCCAACGCCAACCACGTCGACTTCACATTTGCTCTCTCGCCCGGTTTGAGTATATGCTACTCATCCGACTCGGACTTCAATGCTACCGTTGCCAAGTTTGACCAAGTCCGCGCCCTCGGCGTCCGCAGCTTCTACGTCGCTCTGGATGACATCCCTCTCGCATTCCACTGTGATTCAGATAAGCAGAAGTGGCCCAACCAGGGCAACTGGCATTGGCTTGCCGACGCCCAGGCTTACTATCTCAACCGCATCCAGAAGGACTATGTCGAGGCGAACGGCCTCATGGACCTCGAGACGGTCCCGACCAACTATGCCGGCAGTGCACCGGACCCGTACAAGGGCGAGTTCGGCACCCAACTGAACAAGAAGATTCGCATCCAGTGGACTGGAGAAGGCGTCTTCTCAGCCAGCGTCACCGTCGAAAGCGTCGTCCGCGCCGACTCGACCTACGTCACGGACAAGCTATTCTTCTGGGACAACTTTCCCGTCAACGACGACAAGCCCAACCGCCTGTTCCTGAACCCGCTCACGGGCCGCGATGCCGTCCTGTACCAGCATCTGCTCGGCTTCACCTCGAACCCGATGGTGCAGCCGTACGCCTCCATGGCAGCACTCGCCAACTACGCCGACTACACGTGGAACGGGCCGGCGTACAACGCAACGGCCTCCATGGCCACGGCACTGCGGGAGCTCGTCGGCGGAAATGACGCCGTGTACAACGCCGTTGTCGCCTTTGCCGATCTCAACCAAAACTGGCCGTATCGCACTCCTGCCATCAACGCGCCCCAGCTCAGCAAGGACATGGCCGCCTTCTGGGCCGCGCGCAACGCTTCTGCCAAACACGCCGACGGCACCCGAGCGCTGCGCGATCGTCTCCAACTGCTCACCTCGCTGCCAGACGTGCTCCCCCGCATGGCTGTGGAGGGATTCGCCGCCGACGTGGCACCCTGGTCGACGCTGGCGATGCAGTGGGCAACCGCGTGCCAGCATTTGGTCGCCATGCTGGACGCGCTTGACAAGGGGCAAAGGGACGAGGCTGCGAGGGAGTTTGCCGCTGCCCAGAAGTGGGTGGGCAAGACGGCGGCCAAGACGGTCACTGGCCTCGATGGCAAGGGGCAGGTTGTGCCTAACTTTATTACTCCAACTACCGGCGATGGCGTGTTTGACCAGTTTCTCGCCAACGCTACTGCTGCATATAAGGGCCGGTAGATGGTGCTGGAATAAGAATATGGAATACTTGGTGGTGGGTGCAGTCTTCGGACTAGTATGATGGTTGTCAATAGGATTGGCGTGTAAACGGGGGACCTGAAACATTGTCACGGATAATTGAACAATTGTACAATGAATGGATGAATTTTATCGAAGTGAATAGTGGGATCAGTTTAATTCAACTGAGAACTTTGGGGTCATAGACCCCCTGAAGTAGTTTCTGTAGCTAATAACCCAGCGTTGCGCTTGCGCTGATACTGGTACGTCTGACGAGAAGCAGCGCGTCTCCATTTGTCTAATGGAGATTGACAAGTATAGAAAATATGACGGAATGGGAATACGTAGTTTCCCGAGTCCAGATTTGGGCAGCCGCTATCAACTTACCCTTTTCCTTACTGGCTGAGTAGGCACATCGTCTGGCGACATGTTACGCCACCAACGTCTCTTGAACTACCTGCCCCGCAACTACCGACTTGTGTGTCTCTTTTATACAGCATGGTGCAATGAGCTATTGTCGCTGATGTTGCGGTTCATAAATATATGCTGTCTGGGGTAAAGTGGAAGGATTCCCCGTCGTGATCGGTTCTGATTTCTTAAAAGACTTGTGGACGTTTCCGGCTTAGTCCAGTTCTGCCGGAGGAGGTAATATCGTAGTCGTGCAATGTTACCTGAGTTTCAGAGAATCATTTTGAAATCTTACGGCGGTAAAGGTTTGCTTTGGCATTTTGTAAGAACCAAGGTGAGATACTGCGATATTCGGCCGTGGGCCGCTCTGGCTGCGTCTTTCTTGTTCCATGAATTATTAATGACAACCAAGCAGTAATCTGTATTCCGCTCCCTAATCTCTCAATCTGCTGTTTCAAAAGCATGTAGCTCTGCATTCGGACTATAGATCTACATGGTCTTGATCGACCTGTGCAGTAATGTAAGTGCTGTAAGTGATCCGTCGACTTCTCAGTAGATACCAAGTTGATCAATCAGCTCCTGCTGGCCGAATTATGTCATGTTGGGACGCGATTTATTATTTTGTCATACACTTCGATACCTTGGTCCAGTTCTCTCACAGCAGTCATCGGGTATGAAAATTGAGCCACGTAGAAAAAGGGTCCAGTAATAGCGTTTCTTGGCCAAATTCCCTTGATGTTGAGCTTATAAGTGCACACTTATTTCGATAGTCGAAGCTTCGGCTCCCAAGCCACGCAAAGTAATTTGTGTCGTTTGCGATTGCAACGGCGTTGCCTGCATGTAAATAAATTTCGAAGCAGAAAGGACAGCATACTCCGAGGTGGGTTTCCGAAACCTTCATGCCTACGACTTGAAATTATTGGCTGCATTGGCCCGATGGAAAGTATTTTGAGATCGTGATCAAAAGCATCCGGCAGGTGTCAGAGTAACAGGAATGGCTGCTTCCGGGATACATGTCGATTCATCAGCCGGCTTGGCAGGATGTGTCTCTGTAGGGACAGAGATGGCCGAATGAATTCCCATGGTCTACGAAATGTGGGTGTCTATGTCTCCCCGTCAAGTCAGACCTAGGAAAAGAATGCTAAAACAATTTCTAAAACGAAAATGACTAGGATTTCCAAGGCAGATAGACTCCTGCTTTATTCACGTAACCGCCATTAGGTCGCTCACCGACAAGCCTGAATCCCGTTATTCCCGAGTTCGCTCATCCACGGAAACAGGGGGCTCAGACATCAGGACCATGTGTAATATGCGGTACCAAAAGTGCAATTGCCGCAGACCGAGAAAAAGAAAAGAAAAGCATAGTTGAGTCAGCTTCCTCATTAGTTAGGTTGTCTCACCTTGTCAACCAATTTCCAAAATCCCAAGATACTACGTTTCTCCTGACGCAGATCACTCCCTCAATTGATGGCTGAGTCTTTGGAAAGAACTTTAAACTCGTGGGAGCTGCGCGGCAAATTGCACCAGGAGATTCCGATATAGCCTCGTCAATGTCGGCTACGGAGCGCGCCAAGCCGGATGCATAGGCAAAATAATGTCCTGGCTTGTTGGTACGCTCTCCCCCGCTTCATGCATCGAGTTTCACATTGCGCCCAAGTTTCTCGTTTGCCTTCCCCTTTGGATGCGGATGTCACCCTGGCCGGGTTTCAAGCTTCCCGTTCGGGAACCCATCTTGGGTACTTTTCGACCCGATAGGAGAGCCGGGCTTTTTTTATACTTATTTATAACCTATTGACGGTGAATTTTTAGTTTGCTCGCTTGGAACCGACCTTCCATTTAACAGCTTGAGTGGGTACATGTAGTCGATGTTAATGCGAGGTGCATGGGGTAAATGCGGCTGAATAGAGGCATTAATTCAATGTTGCACCGTAAAAGATGAATACGTAAATAAAATAACATAGATTAAAAATGGAAAGCAACGTCAATAGAGTTGCTTATCTTGCTCGGTATGGTGGCAGCCAAGGGATAACCATGGTGTCTCAGAATCCAGATGCTCGATTTTCTCACCGTATTGATGCTTGGGGTACACACATCTGCCACGTTGCTGATTTCGGTAGCTGGAAAAGGGGAGAGGGGCCACATACCAGGATGCATTATCCTTGATCCTTGGACACAGACGAGAGGAACCAGAGCCTGTGCAAAGTCGCAGCTCTGGCCTCCTTCCAGGTCGCCGGATCCGACGAAACTCCCTCCCTCCGCTACGGATGCAGACGCACCACGATGCTCCCCAAGTCAGGTTACATGATACGCGTGTATCGAAGATCCTTACTCTTACCGGTTCCATAGTTACCAGCCTCCCCTCTGATGAGCACGACGTTCTCGTCTTTGCAGCTGAGTCGTCCCGAGTCCCGACAACGGGGCTATTGGACTTTTTGCACCGTGAAGCAAAAGAAAAAAAAAGCACCCAGAAACAGATGAAAAGAGTCTTACCGTGTGTTCACATCGTACTTGCCTGAATGGGCAGGTAGCGCTTGAGTTCTTGAGAAAAAGCAACAATACATGGGTTAACCTGTCGTGGTCTCTTTGTCCAGAACTATAAAGTGGAAGGCTCCTGCTTGTCATTCGAGGAACGATTCATCCTCATCAACCCTTCTCTTCTTGCGATATTTCCGTTCAACTTACACTGATCTGTGATCATGTTTCCAAGTCTCTTGTTGCTCAACCTATTGCCTCTGGCCATCGCGGCTCCAGCCAAGCGAGCTGAGCCGGCACCACTCCTTGTCCCACGAGGTGACACTATCCCCGACAAGTATATTGTCAAGTACAAAGAGACCTTTGATATCTCAGCTGCCGACAGCACCATCAAGGAATACCATGCCAAGGCGGAGAAAACGTACTCTCACGTCTTCAACGGATTCGCTGGCGCGTTGAACGCGACGTCCATTGAGACGCTTCGCAATCATCCTGCTGTAAGCTTGACTGCACAAGCTGTACCTGAATCTTTTCTAACGCCTGACATAGGTTGATTTTATTGAAAACGATGCAACTGTCAGGATTAGCGCATTTGTCGAACAGCCGGGTGCCCCTTGGGGTCTGTCTCGCATTTCGCACCGACAGCGCGGAGGAAGTAGCTACGCCTATGATGACAGTGCCGGTGAAGGCACATGCGCGTATGTTATCGATACTGGAGTCGAGGCTTCGCATCCGGTATGTATGAGACAAGCCTTCAGCTATGGAGGCGAATATGGCGCATTTATCCGATGCAACTAACTCGCAAGTGTAGGAATTCGAAGGTCGAGCCGAGTTTATTAGGTCCTTTGTTGCCGGAGAGAACTCTGATCGCAACGGTCACGGCACCCACGTGGCCGGAACCATTGGCAGTAAAAAGTATGGCGTGGCTAAGAAAACCAAAATCCTTGGAATCAAGGTTCTGAGTGACCAAGGCAGCGGCGATTACTCCGGCATTCTTGCCGGTATGGACTTTGCTATCCAAGACTCTCGAACACGAGGCTGCCCCAAGGGCGTCGTCGCCAACATGAGCTTGGGAGGCGGCTATTCAGCTGCCATCAACCAGGCTGCTGCAAAGATGATCCAGTCTAATGTATTCCTTGCTGTTGCGGCAGGAAACGACGCGAAGGATGCCTCCCAAACGTCTCCTGCCTCTGAGCCTAGTGTATGCACTGTAGGAGCAACGGATTCTTCTGATAGACTTTCCTCCTTTTCAAACTACGGGGCTGCTGTTGACATTCTTGCCCCTGGAAGCGATATCCTGTCAACTTGGATAGGTGGCATTACTGTGAGTTATACTACCCAATCGTTGAGAATGGCCAACCCTAATCTATCGTTAGAAATCTATCTCTGGTACTTCCATGGCCACGCCACATATTGTTGGTCTTGGTGCCTACTTGTCTTCTTTGGAAGGCTTCCCTGGTGCACAGGCTCTTTGCGAAAGAATTCGCTCCCTGGCTATAAGAAATACTATTAGCGGTGTCCCAGGAGGAACTGTCAATTTGCTTGCTTTCAACGGGAATCCATCTGGATAATTGGCTGGTCCTAAAGTCTAGTGGAAGGATTTGACAACGCAACAAACCAAATGGCACTGTGTGCAATTGCAAATAGTCTTATTCTCTGTAAATATACATCAACCTTACCATATCATATGAGTCAGCAGGCTACCCTGAGTTCATGGCCATTATTAGGTCCCGTATTTTGTGGCGAGGGCGTTATTTGACCCTCGAGCTCGTAGCAACTTCAGTGACCAACGCCCACCCAGTATACACTCGTGGAAAAGACGAATGAGTTTGTGTATGGGGACCAAGTATAACACTTGGACTTGGACTAACCGCCAGGAACATGGAGTTGTCTGACTCGGAGACTTGGCATGCCTCCGCTTCTCCGTATGGCGGGCGACCTCGACCCAACACTTGATTGAATGTGATCTGAAATCATGCCCAGTGTCGTATTGGCTGGGCGTGTGTGGCATGATTCTGCATGTTGACAGCAATATTGCGTTGCTTACGGAGTACAATGCATGTGCTGGCTGGGGTGAGTAGTGTCACCGAGCCCGAGTCAGGACGTCTTGGTAACACTGCTTGTCCCAAAAAAGGTAGATGGTAGCTTGCAGTTTTACGGAGTAGTTTCCGCGACGTTGACCAGTCAATTTGTTACTCGATAAATACACCCAATGTGTTGTACAGAAAGAAGATGCTCTACAAGTTGTGATCTATCGGGTTCCACATGTAGGCGGTATTCCAATTAGTCGAATCAACGGGAGGTGAATGGGTTTTATTGCATGCGTGTTGTCATATTTCAGAGAGTAATATCTCTCCTGTTGCAAGACATGAAGTTGGAATGGTTGCATTCAAGGAGGCTGAGTCTTGGCTTCTTAGTAATACTGACCACGCCTTGCGTAGGATAGAGACTAGTGCGTACATATAATTGGTGTATAACAAAGCAAAAATCATGTCATTTCGAAAGCCGGGAATCTGTAGCTCGTGGAGTACGGCATGCGGCATAATTGGTCAAGCTTGACACGAGCCGCGAAAGGCGAGTTATGGACAGCTTCATCCATCCTTGGCGTGTACGGAGCAGGGCGCACCACTTCCTGTGCCAGCAATGGTGCAGTTAATACGCCTGTCAGTGTAGCTGTATGGGTAGGCCAGGTGTAATCTCTCCAGATTGGTACGCCCTGCTTGGGCTCATCGTGGTGTCCTGCCGTTGACCGGAGGAAAAGGCGCAGGTTGAACAGGGACTTGAATGCGCCCTGTGGCTGCCTGAACAGCTCACGGCATATGTCAAAGTGTTTGAACGTTTACAATTGGCCGGTATGTATGGGGTAATAAAAGGATCATATCAATCATTGGATGGCACAAAGGTTCGCGTAACATCATGCACGCGACCCCTCTCAGTCAATGTTGACCCCGTCTGGGGAGGCCGGATATATCCCGATATGGCTCAAGGCGGCCGGATGTCATTACCGCGGCAAAACAGGACGTGGTTTATGTCACAAGTGACCAATCGTATAATCGGCAGATGCATATTTGTGGCCCGGCGACCGACCGCGGAGTGAGGCTGGCTGCAGCGGGAGTCCGGTGTAAGAAAATGACCAACAAATATTGCATATGTGACATGTATGATGAGATAATCGTATGACTGTACAATACGAATCGACAACCTTGCTGGGGCCGTGACGACAAACCGTGTCAATCACCGAGACTTGAACACGAGCGTCTAGAGATATAAATATCGCGGGCCCGCGCCGTTGTTTGGGAAGAAACTCAGCATCTTATCGCCTCACAGACATTGCACTGCCGTCTACATACCACAAATTCAACTCTGCGTTTACCATTCCTCAGCCCTTGATTCTACCCTTCACAATGCTCGGCTTTGCCAAAACCCTTCTTCTTGCTACCCAGCTGGCATATTTTGCCAGTGCGTCGGTTCGTGTGCCCCCAAAGCAACCCGAATACATTCAGCCAAAGAAGCCAAGCTGAACTCACTAATAAAAAGCCCACCCTCAACAATAACAATAAACTTACGAGCAAATGGCCCGTGTGTATCCCTCCCCCAACACAAGTCTCAACCAAGCGAACGCCGACTGAGAAGCGAGACGCCAGTAAGTTCATCCACACTTTCCCTGAGACAGATGAAGAAACATGCTGATTTACTCTCTTGTAGGCGTTGAGACTCCGTTGCCCACCCAGCCAGGCATGGTTGGCAACTGCAACAAGTTCTGCTGGATAGAGAATGGCGACAACTGCGAGCAGATTGCTGAGAGCAATGACATTACCACTAAGCAATTCATCCAGTGGAACAAAGGCGCTGGTCCGAATTGCCTCACTCTCTGGGCGAAAACATATGGTTGCGTGGGCGTTACGGACTCGTAACGGCGAGCAACGTCCTTTGTGTCGTGGCGTGACGCTTAGTCTGGTTCCGCCGAATTGGATGGTCCATTGAGACTGGAGGGATATTCTTTTCAGATTACTTTCGTTAATGCTATGGCAACACTTCTTGAAACCAATTAGGCAGATAAATTGCAAGATACCTCACTCGCGGCGAGTGGAGGCTTTGTGTAGGGAAAACTAATTCTCCACCGGGAACGTTGTGATTTAATACTTGTGAATCATTTGAGCACATCTTCTGAGGTCCTGCTGTCAGTAAATCCAGCCTTGCTACCTGGTATTTGGGACTACATCTTGTTTGCTATTGGCAGTGAGCAGAGATGACTACCAGCTTATCCACAGCCGTCATCAAATGAGTCCAGGGTCATCGGCTTCACGTCTACCAGCGCGGTGCTGCGTTACCTGTGGCAATAGTAGAATATCACAAGGTAGGCAATCAAAGTAGTAATGCGGAGGAGAATGCCGTCTGAAGTGGGAAAATTGTTGAAATTCTTGCCAATGATGCTCAACTCTGGTTGATTTGTCCTTGACGTGCTAACTGCTGGATTTATATCTCGGATTTATCACTCTCCATACAGTAAATAATGAGGCATAGGTATTTCTATAGCGACATCACATCGTTTAATTTCTTATATATTTGCATCAACCAAGATACCATGACCAGTAGTGGGATATCAACGATAGCTTCAACATTACGAAATCTATTCATTGCTCAGCCACGGGTTCCATATAAGACAACATTATTCAAAGTACAAATTACGGTGGGTCTCAGCAATTATGGGTGCTTGTTTCTAGGTCTACCATGCAAATAGTTCCGGACTTACTGGTACCTACTGTACCGCGCATTCGGTCAAGGGTATCCAAACGAGACTACATATACGCAGCGAGCCGGCCAAGACTGCTTAGACGCAACTTGGCGCTCCAGAAATTGTTATTCGATTTAAGTCACGGATATATTTGTATGGAATAGTTCATCGTTTGTCAGGTGCCGTTGCCTGTTTTTCCTAGCGCCCGTACCAGTGTTGACCGTCGTCGAACTATGGGATAGTTCATGCGGCCTCAAATGACTCGAGACGCGAGATTAGATTTTTTAATTTGCGCTTCCATGTTAAAAGATCTCAACACTAGCATCCGATTTATTCAACAAGGCTAGTGTTTGCGCATCATTATATGCCACATTTGAGCCGCGACTGGCGCCACGACTGCGAAAGCCACGGTATTCTCAAACTTCTATGAAATTGTACGGCTTGTTCTTCTTGCGCTAGCAGTTTCCATCTCTATATATTGGGAGGTTACACTGATTACATCTTTAAAAGAAAAGAATTAGCCTTTTGTGGATATTCCCTTGATTATGTTGAACATTGAAAATAGTCTTCCTGTACAAAGATCGGACAGCACTCTATCCTTTCGAGCCCTGTGTATCCTCGAGTTATGAAACAAGGACGAGAGGCTAGAAAGCCCAAGAGCTTATGACCCCCTTGAAGCAGTCGGACAGTTCCTCTTCAACTTGCTTGTACTGGGCCAAGACGAACATTGACCCCTCTATCGCCTGATGCCTGGAAAGATGCTATTTGGTCGAAAATTGGAAACCCAGAATCATTATGGGCTTCAATTATTATATCTGGTGCGTAGCTACGGATCGAGTGTAATAGTACATGCTTTTAATAAGCTTCTGATACAGTGCTTTTATGTAATGTCGTAGGGTTAAGACCTGAGTTTAGCTCGCAAGATGGCATTGAAAAGAATCAGAGCAATATACTATCGCATTTAGCGACCTTATTTCTATCTATTAGGTACTATTACTCGAGGCTATAGATCGCCCGAACATTTGCTCCCCTACCTAACCTGACCTAGCTCTTCCTACAGGGTATAATGCAATGTATTACAGCTTAACATTGCACATAATCAGGACCATGTAAGTCGTATGGGGACGCAGTAAACAGGCATGATGTTCTGGCTCTCGACATCGACTGAAGCTTTTGAAAGTGAATTGAGCTCCTCCAAGTGGTGGCAGATAGGTTGGCAAAAGGTTTGGGGGTTCGAACCCCAGAATCTCTCTACCGCAAGTTGCTACTAGACAGGCGACACTGGTGATGCAGTCGAAGGTTTCGAGTGCGCAACCCATGTATTTTCTGACGAATGTGTAGCCAGCATTACCCGCATCGCCAAGGCTGTGCAATAATTTCAACTGGAGACGTGCACCCCTACGACCCGACTGTTAAAGTCATCGAGTGAGCAACTTGAAGCAAACTCCGAGGCGCCGTGACCACAGTGGCGAAGCTGGCATTGCCGCATTGCAAACCACCGCAGCAGTCTGCTCTACCACCATTCCCTTGAAATACTTGTGGTGGTCTTCTCATGGAGGGCTTAATCTGAGCTCAGAAACGTGACGCATCCGAGCAAAAAGCCCAAGGTCAAATAATGCCCCGTTACGACCCCCCTGAATCTAGACGGCCCAAAACAGAAAGATGTCAGGACGCGTCCTTATCAATGGCGGTAATCTTTATCATCTGGTCGGCGGCATGTTTCCCAAGCGCCGCAAGTGATCCCATCGCAAGCATCTCCAGCACACTGATGTCAAAGGAGAAGACCTGCTTCCACCAGGCCTTGAGCTCGAGTGCCACGAGCGAGTCGAGACCCAGGTCGACCAAGGGCAAGGCTATGTTGAGGTCCTCCTGTGGCTTGAGCAGCAGGTGAAAGAGTTTCTTTCCAATCTCAACGGCGAACAGGTTAGCCGTCTCCGGCGAGCTGAGGACAGCAGGGTCGGCTCTGGCACCAGCCAGGAACGATTTGAGACCATCGTTGGACGCGGCAGCTTCAGCACCAGCGGCAGCGGCGTTGTGGTACGACGCCATGCGACGGTCTCTTTTCCACACGGAGCGGTTGTTGGGACTACTCAGCGGTATCGACGAGTCCAGGCCGAGGACAAACGTGTTGGCTTCGACAAAGGCCGAGGGGAATCCTGGACTATTTCCCTGCCCCGTCGGCCGAGCATGGGCAAACATTGCCAAGACCATGGCGTCCAAGAGTTCCTGCTCTGTGACGCCCTTGAAGCCGGTTGCTTTCATGGTGTTCATTAATCCTTGGCGCTCGGTAATGACTCCAATGTCTTCGACGGCTCCGACGTCGACGACTGAGGCTGCCAGGCCCAAGCCCTTGCGGTACTGGGCAAACGCATCAAGAAAGGTGTTGGCGCTGGCATAATTGGCCTGGCCCGGCTGGCCGATGATTCCCGAAACGGAGCTGAAGAGGACAAAAAAGTCCAGGTCTGTGCCGGCGGACAGAGAGGCACGGTGTAGGTTCCATGTGCCCTCGACCTTGGGGGCTGTCGCACCCGTCCACTCCTCAAAGGTCATTTTGGTAAAGTTTTGGTCACGCAGAACCATGGACATCTGGATGATGCCTCGAAGGGCATGTGTCGCCGCCTTGACAGCCTTCTCGACGTCCTCGAGCTTGGTCACGTCTCCCTGGATGAGCTTGACGTTGCAGCCCATACTCTTGAGCTCGGCCACGAAGACGTCGTGCTTGGTGTCCCCTCCAGCGCTTCGTGATAGGTAGATCAATTCGCGGGCGCCGTGCTCGGCCATCCAGACGGAAATGGCGCGGCCGAGACCCCCGAGCCCCCCGACAAGAAGGTAGGAACCGGATCTGTCAAATGTGATGGGTCGGGCCATCTTGACAGTCTCAAACTGGGTATCCGGGTGTTCTGGGTTGTGAGAGATGGAAATGCCAATTCGTCCAATGTGAAACCCCTTTTGCATGTACCGGAACGCGTCCTGGGTTTGACTGGCTGGGAAAGATTTGACGGGTCGAACGGGGGTGACAAGACCCTTGGCACACCAGTCGAAGGCGTCCAGCATGTGTCTGTATAGAAGGTCATTGTGTCAGAAAAGTAGTCTCTTGTATCAAGCGTGGATTTGGACAAGAACAGCCTTTGGAGAAGGATCTCGAGGCGGTTACATTGTGCTCAACTCACTTTCTCAGAATCCACGGCTTCGACCAGACGCGGTCAATGTCAATACAGCAGTAGCTGCGGTTCTTCAAAAAGGGCTCCATGTCGAGTTTCCCACGGCCGATCAGATCTCGCTTTCCAATTTCAACCAAGGTACCAAACTCGGCGACGCATGTCCACGTTGCGTGCAAGAGCTCGCCGGAAAGGGAGTTGAGGATGACGTCCATGCCTTGGCCACCAGTCTCCCGCATAACGTCACCAACAAAGGACTTGTCACGGGAGTAGAAAATTCGATTCCGCGGGATGTTGAAGTTGTTCATCAGGAACTCGACCTTGTCTTCTCTGCCGACGGAACAGTACACTTCAGCGCCGACCATCTGGGAAATTTGCACAGCGGCCAGACCAACGCCACCACATGCGCTGTGAATCAAGACGGTCTATGTATATATCAGCATAGGGGGACACCTTGGCCGCCGGCCATAACTACGTACCTGACCCCTGGAAAGACGTGCAGTAGCGAACAAGCCATGGATAGCCGTAATATATGGCATGATCATGGACGCGGCCTCATCGAACGTGATGTTGTCGGGGACATGAGTACAACTATAGTCCGGAGTGACAATATAAGTCCCAAAGGCCTGCTTCTTCAAGCAGCAGATGCGATCGCCGACCTTGAGCTGGTTGGGGTCCACGTCCTTTCCGACCCGTGTAATGATGCCTGCTGCTTCGAATCCAAACTGGCGCACTGGAAGTTCCACGATGCCAAGGGCCACGAGGATGTCCTTGCGATCGAGTCAGATGGTACGACAAAGCTGGCATAGAGTCAATTGACTTACCCGAAAGTTCAAGCCTACAGAGTGCACCTGGACCTCTACATCGCCCGGCTTCAGCTCGGCCTCGCGCGGCTGTTGCACCCAACGCAGACTGTTGACCAGGCCAGGCGTCCCGATGTCAAGGGAGGCCATTCCAGAGGGCTCCGACACCAGGAGTTCGTCACGCAGCGCGAATTTATGGAAGCGCCCAACCTGTACCT